AAAACTATTTTGGAAATCAAACAAAAAAGTAAATAAATGATATAATCTTGATTTTGCTAATTTAATAATGTTGAATCCCCAAATATTAATAATCCGTCATAATTACGTCATTTAAATGACATGATTCATTTTGCTTCTTTAAATAAGCAGAAAGGTATTGACTATACAACTATTAAATTTCTTGTAGCTTATCAGCATCTGGTTAGTCATCTTATCACACTAATTTATTTGTTTGTTTTTGTTTTGCTTTGTATTTTTCTTTACTCCTAATTGTATTTTATGATCTCATTCATTTCTCTGACATTTTCTAGTGAGGGCTAGCTCTGTACCTCATCACACTAGAAAATGAATCCACTTTAAATCTGGTTTCTGCCTCCTGCAGAACTCTGGGGTTGAAGTTTAGAGAGGAGACTTTAACCGCCTCCCTAAACTATAAACCTCAGAATTCTGCAGGAGGCAGAAACCAGATGTAAAGTAGATTCATTTTCTAGTGTGATGAAGTAGTATATAACTGTACAATAAGAAATATTGCACACTTCCTTGACCTGCAATCCTTTACATTCTACCTGGGAGTAAGCCCATTGAATATTGTAGAATTTATCTCTGATTGGACTTGTATAAATACATGGTAGAAATCTCCTAAGTACTTTAAAAAGCCAATAAATTCTGTCTCTAGAAAATGTAATTAGTTAATCCAGTTGAGGCATTCAATTACATGAAGCTGATATTTCACCAAGTAAAAGGTGAGATAATGACAACCATAGAAATCATATTCTACCTTATGATCATTATTTCTCATGAGGATGATATTGAAGAAAAACAATGCTCATGTATGTTTTGGGAGAATGGGAAATTCCTAAAAATGATCAGAGGATTATATTACTCTTGAAAGCTTAAAATGGATTAGACATAATGCATTCCGTTCTGGAAACCCTGAAAAAGTCGTTTCTTTCTATTAGAACAATAAAGGCCTCATTCCCTACAAGTCCCAGAAATCCTTGAGGAAAGCCCACATTTATGTTAACACAAGTTTAGTTTGCATAGTGTAGATTGCAGTCTCCAAAGTACTAATGGATAATAAAATAGAAAGCATGCTCTAGTAAAGCAACCTAAGAGATAATATTAAACATTAAAATAATGGGATTCTGGTAATAAGTAGTACCCTGAGATTCGTTTGTATTAACTTTTCCCACTATTAAAATTATTGTGCTAAATAAGAACAAACAGAGTTCACTAGGGAGTGTGTCAGCTTCTTTTTAATTAGGTTTTTATCCACCAGGAATACTCTGATTCTTGATTTTTTCCCATTGCGTTATGCTTTCTGACTAAAGTGAAAATCTAATTTACTTATTTCTTGTAACTCATAAATCACAGTGATGCTAAGAGTTTTTTTTCAGCCTGAGTTTCAATAAGACACTGGAGGAAAACTGTGGTTCTGAGATATATCTTATTAGATCTTCTAAATCCACTTCCTTAGAAAGACTTAGCATTTGTTTCAAGTCCTAGTAGATGGAGTTATGTATCTAAAATTTCCTTTCCGTGCTAGCATTCCTTCTGACAATGAGCCTGGATGATCTTATTAATATGATGTACGATGGAGCAATGTCCATGTAACATCAAGGTTTCTTGTTAATTCTACAGTCTCAGCAAACACTATTTGTTTATCAAATAGAAGGAAAAAAGTACAGCATGTTTAATTTTAAAAAGTAGGTGTGTGGTCTCATCAAGACCTATGTGGGTCTAGAACTTATAGATCATTAACTTGAGTTCAATTTGAGTTCATAAGCATTTTATGTGTAGATAAACTGACTCGAGGAGACCTCATGGGCCATCCAGTCCAACCCCCTGCCAAGAAGCAGGAAAATCCCATTTGAAACAGCTCCGACAGATGGCCATCCATCCTCTGTTTAAAAGCCTCCAAAGAAGAAGCCTCCACCATATTCTGGGGCAGAGAGTTCCACTGCTGAACAGCTCTCATAGTTAGGAAGTTCTTCCTAATGTTCAGGTGGAATCTCCTTTCCTGTAGTTTGAAGCTATTGTCCCGCATCCTAGTCTCCAGGGCAGCAGAATACAAGCTTGCTCCCTCCTCCCTATGTCTTCCCCTCACATATTTATACATGGCCACCATGCCTCCTCTCAGTCTTCTCTTCTGCAGGCTAAACATGTCCTGCTCTTTAAGCCACTCCTCATAAGGTTTCTTCTCCAGACCCTTGATCATTTTAGTTGCCCTTCTCTGGACACATTCCAGCTTGACAACATCTCCCTTCAGTTGCAGTGCCCATAATTGAACAGGTGTGGTCTGACCAAGGCAGAATAGAGGAGTAGCATGGCTTCCCTGGATCTAGACACTATACTCCTATTTATGCAGGCCTATTTATTTATTTATTTATTTATTTATTTATTTATTTATGCTATTTCTACTCTGCCCATATCAGCCCAAAGGTGACCAGGGCGGCGAACAGTTGGCACAATTCGATGCCATGTATATAATACATACATCAATAAAAAAATAAAAGCATCACATTACAATGTATCTAAAAGACAATCAAAACATTGAACAGTAAAAATTTTAAAACTATGTCGTCATGTTTAGTCCTCATCCGTTCCGTCGCCTTAGCCATTCCTAGGTCATTTTCTGATTCAAGTTTGTCTAATTATGCTGAGGCTCCAAAAGTTTGCTCGAAGAGCCAAGTTTTCAGGGTTTTTTTTTTTAATGTTAGGAGGGAGGGGGATGATCTGATATCCCTGGGCAGGGAGTTCCAAAGCTGAATTCTTTTGCCACCACATGACATTGTTGGCTAATATTCAACTTGTTGTCCACAGATCTCACCAAACTACAACTCCCATGATTCCATCACATTGATGATCTCCAGATGATTGGGTATCAAAGAATATAGTACTTCATTCTTAACCCTTTTCTTCATTTTTACTGCAACATTCTTGTCAGTGAAAGCTTGACTAATGAAAGTCTAAAAGATATATATCATTGGGGATTCAGTAACTCTCACATCCCTGTTTGGCATTTGCTGCATTTTCGTGACATCATTTGTAGCTAACCTTTAATACCCTATATCTTTCATGAAACAAAGTGAAGGTCTCCACCTTTGTAACCTTTTCCTTACTCTTTCTTCTGAAATTGATTTATCCATTTTACCACACAGAGACATCCTGAAGATTTGAGCTTCATTGATCAATCAATACAATCAATACAATATCCTGTTGATTGGATCTTGAGCTGGAGTCATTCCAGGTTTCTTCAAACAGATTCATGCCTCAACAATTCTAGCACAAACTATTGCTTTAAAATAAGGTTTTATTGTTTATAAATAAGTGCAGCATTTTACAGCAGAGAACAGCTCACAGTTGTTTGGACAATAGAGGTTGATTTTCCTTGAATTCAACACTGGGCCAGATCCCAGGCAGCATGAAGTGTCACTGTGTTGAATTATTTTCATACTTTTCACAGCTAGGCTAGACTTAAGAAGATAAATAGACCCTCAGAATTTGAAATCTTGAGATCTCACATTCTTTTCTTCTGGAATGCTATGCTAGGATGAACAGTGAGGCAGAAATTTACTAAACAGAAACTACTGTCTCTTGTGCCAACTGAAAGTTGTGTAATAGCATTATGACATTCTAATAAATTAATAATTTTGTGGTGAGTGCAAAGCACTCATGCCAATGGTAAAGTTGCTGCATATTGCCAGTGAGCTGCAGAAACACTAAGAACTTAATTGCACAAAGCAGCAGTTCTGCTACAGTTGTATTAGCATTGATAACAGACACATACCATGCTGAGGATCCTCAATATCGCACCTCTCTTCATTAGTGGAACCGAGATGATTCACAAGTTCATGGTGCCATGATCATACTTCCACATAGCTTTGTAGCCCTAAAATCTTGCAAAACCACAATTCCTTATTTTTAAATTTTTAATTTTAGCACAATTGTAAAATTCCAGCATTTAAAAACAAAAGAAGGCAAATATAAAGATAAAAGATAACATAAAAAGAAAGGAAAACAGCCAGCTTGGGAATAGAGAGGGGGAGAGAAGGAGAATCCTGCCCCCTGATGTCATTTTACCACTGATATGCCAGCACATTACACCAAAGAAGGCGATGGGAATATTGCAATATAGGGAGTTGTTGGTGGGTTTTATCAATTAACAGGTAGGGATGGAAGAATCACAGGAGAAGGCAGACTATCAGTAAGATACCCACATCATCATGTGATAGGGACCAATTGCAATACCTGCCTTGTGTGATATTATCCTGAGTTAAGGCATCTTCAGCTATCTCTGGTAACAAATTAGAAATTTGATGGCAAACAGGTATCACATGTGAAATAATCTTATTTCTGTTCAGAATTGATTGTACTCACATTTTTTCCTTGCACTGATGAGTTGAGAGAAAGGGGGATGGCAGCAGGGTCCCATGTGGACAGCGGACCAGCCTGAATTGGACTGATCCTGCTGTCCACACTGCCTCAACACAACAGAGTTATTTCAGTTTCAAGCAAACTCCAGAGCATCCTTCATTTTTGTATAATGTGAGGCTAAATTGAATAACCCAGTTTAATGCACAATACTTATCAGAAGAGGAGAAACATCATGGGGATAGCCAGAACCCAAATTGGGTAAGTCTGCATTTTAATGTTTTCTTAGATGAGCCTTAAATCAGATCAAATGACATGTACTTTGGTGTTTTCAAATACTTTATATAGCAGAGAGGAAAACATCAGTTTTCAGGTAATTGTACCTTTCTTCAGATTCATTAAAACGTGTTTTAATATGGACTCCATAACCTGATCACAAGAATTTTATTCATAACTTCCCCTCACTATCATTGCATATAATTTGTTTAATGTCTACCCTAATAAAGAAATGACAGTTTAGTTGGGCCCAATAGAAAGCAATGTCTTACCTAACATATGGCATATAAAGCCAAGACGACCAATTCATTAATTAAAGGGTGTTAGCTTTTCTCTTCTTTTTCCCCTAGGTGTTAACTGTGAATTCAGGCCTTGTGAGGCTGGGAATCCCTGTGAGAATGGAGCTATATGTCTAAAAGAGAGAGATTTGGCTTCCTTTCCCTTTGGATTTCAATGCCAGTGTAAGAAGGGGTTTGCAGGCCCCCGCTGTGAAATCAACATCAATGAATGCAGTTCCAGTCCTTGCCTCCATGGATATTGTTATGATGGTGAGTTCAATATGTGCAATTGCTCCTTTTATCATTCAGAGCACCCTTGTCACTGAATCTGAATCATTTCAGGGAGATAAGCAGGCAACATTTACTAGTGTGTATGTTCCAGCTACACTTCAGTGTTCTGTTTCTGAAGGAAGGAGAGTTTGCCAGAATGTCTCATTTTCTGGCACAGAGGTTTATGTTTCCAGAGGTCACAACACCAGCTAATGAGAAATTCTAATGAGATTTTTTGAATTGTCGCTTCCGATGCTTCAATTAGCCCAAATGCCTTTTGTCCAATATATTTGATGGTGAGTAATTTTCAGGTACTTAAAAAGATGCTCCATTCAGCAATGAAGGACTGTTTGCAATGGGACTGTTTGCAATATGTATGAATGTCGCTTGAAATGAGATCATGAAGATGAATGACACCATGTCTCTTCAGTTTGGCTGAGCAGGAGGGAAGTCCTGTAATGTTACTGACTTTTAACTCTTTACATGCTCATTCATATGTATGTTATATTTCCAGTTATTTTATGAGGTTATTTCTCAAGCAGTAGTATTACATATTCTGAAAAGTGAACATGTAACTTTTTTGTATGCATGGTAAGAGTAGGATTTTCAAAAAAAATGTGTGAGCTAACAATCTGTATTTCTGTTATTAATTTATAATATAGAGTCTACAGCTGTTCCTTATTCAGAAACACAACACAATTATGATTGTGACTCTTTTGTCAAAAAGGTATATTCTCCTCCACCCTCACCCCCTCAATGGCCAGCATCCTCATCAAATGAAGGAAGGCTGGGTTGTTGCAAGTTGTTGTAGATTTTTTTGGTCTGTATGACCATGTTCTTGAAGCATTCTCTATGTTTTAGCTGCATCTGTGGTAAGCATCCTCTGAGGATGCTTGCCACAGTTGCAGGTGAGATGTCAGGAGAGAATGCTTCTAGAACATGGTCATACAGACCAAAAAACCTACAAAAAACCAGTGATTCCAGCCATGAAAGCCTTCGACAATACATTGAAGGAAGGCTGTTAAACTGTCAATCAAAGTGCAAGGTCCCATAAAGGAACATTATCAAAATTCCTCATTGTGGCCTCACTCACTGGTGGGAGGAGTCTGAAAATCTCATCTTCGTTAACCCTGATCAGCATCTGAACAGATTTCTTTTGCTCAATGCACCTGCTAGCTATGAAGGAGGATGGTAGGGAGACTGGTATAAGATTACTTCATTTTGTATTCACATACAATATAAAATACTTAAAAGATCATAAGTCACTAGCATGCTGACAGACTACAATGGGAGTGCCAGCTGAATATGAGAAGTTATGACATTATTTGTGACGTCCAGTTCCATCAGATCCCTTCCTCCATCACATGACAGGAGCCATTCCATCTAGCTACAGTGATAGAGAGAAAGGATGCAGGGCTGCCACCACCACCCAAGTTGTTGTCATTGTCATCTTCATATTTACTGTGAGGCTGACTCAGGCTGCTTTTTTCACCAGACATCATCAGGGAGCAATAATTCCGTCAGGCTAAGGCCTGGGAGAAAAAGTGCCACACTATAATCAATACTGGGAGACAAACTGGCCATTCTATTCTTGAACTCCTTTGGACCCAACTACATATTGCAAGGAATATGCAGCTAAATCTGCAAAATTCATAGTTAGAACTGGTATGTGTGCATAGAGAGAAGAGTCATGGGTGTGTGTTTATTAACCCATTTGTTTGCTCAGGACCACAGATCTGGGTTAATATTATTTATTTCTCATGATAGACTCCAGACTTGTATCTAGTATACCATGTGGCATAGATCCATCAACACGCATAACTCCTCCACCATCCCTATTGCAGCACACAGTTGTTTAAATTCCCATAGATGTGAATATTGAATACATAATTTAAAATTGTTTTATGTCCCTTCCTTAAATCTTACTGTTCAGTTTCCAGTGTGGGTACCTGTTAAAGTAAATAGCTACTGAGATTTGATTTGCAACTTAAAAGGGAGGGAAGGTGCCCTGCTTCCGTTCCAACTTAAAACGGCAAATTAAGAAAAATTCCTGCATTGCCTTGTAGTCAGAGAAAAATATTCTTGGAACAAAGGGCTTCAAGCATTTAATGAGAGTAATAGCAGTTACATGTGCAGAGACTGAGTGACAGCATAGATTACATGGTAAATCTTAGAGATAATGAAGAACCCAGGGACCTGTGTGAGGCTATAATAAATCTCTGCCTGTAAGAACTGCAATCATTGCTGTCACTGGGTCCCTTGTACAGATGTAGCTCTCTAAAGATACTTCTCTTTTTACATCTCTAATGATGAAAAAGAGGACGGGCTGATTGTTAGCTCAGGGGGCTTGGGTTGAAACATGGAAGCACATGAGAGGAGCTGATCAAGGCTGTCAAATTCAAGCTCTTGCACTGTTTCTTTTTAATAAAGTGGCACAGTGTGAAAATTGCATCTCTAGAAAATAAATGTTTCTTTCATTGGCTTAACTAACACATACACATGCAGATGCAGAACCACAGATCTTCTCCCTTTGGGAAAAGGCACCTTGGGAAAACCTTTAGTGGGGGCGGGGGAATCTCTAGCACCTAAGAATCACAGTGCAAAATAATATATTTTATTATCCCTAAAGAGAAAGGATGTCTTGAGACATGTCAACACATTATGAGAAGGATTTTGTCCCCCATTTCCTTTTGGTATTTTGAGACTCTTTGTGAAAATGTTGTTTGCATAAAATAAGTATTTGTAGTTGCTGCATTTGTACATGTTGCATTATCACACAATACAATTTTTATTCACTACACAACATAAAGTATTTCCATTGCAAATTATTTCTTTGTTAAAAATAGTATTCTAAATTCTGAAAACGTTATCACCCAAATGGCCATTTGTGTGTTTTTACAATTTCCATTTATAGGGGAGAAAGGGAGATATTTTATTTTTGTGCCAGATAATAAAATCAAGTGAAGATCAACACCCATACTTTAAAAGTGCTCTCCTCAAACTGGGTCATAATCTGTAGGGAAGAGAGGGGAAAGGAGAGGATGTCACAGGATGCTGGTCATGAAGTGTTTTATAGTTTCCAAATCACAATCTCCCCCAACTGCTGCAAGCTAGATAGCAAGTGTCCCAGAAGCAAGCAAAAATACAGAAGAGTCCTTTCACAGCAAAAACATGCTTCAGGCCATCTATCAGCAAAGTCCAACTGCTAGCATCTGACCTTATCTACACACACTGTTTAGTAAACTCTCTGATTCAGGTTTTCAACCAAAATATTTGGAGGTTTTAATCTTCACCCTTGCAATATATACAAACAGGATACACAGATCCAATTTCCTTGCTCTTGCCAAAAATCAGAATCATCAGATAGTCACATACAACATAAGCAGATATTCAAACCATGTCATACAAGAGAGAGAAAGGTGGATTCTTTTATCGTCCTTATATAGCCACCTGCTGATGGGTCATCAGTAAGGGACAGTGGCTTTGCAATAACCCTCACATGGTTATGACTCAGCTATTATCACACCCCTTAGGTGTTGTATCATGACATTCACAGTCACTACCCTGGTGCTATGAATATTTCACATGTTCATTAAACAGTATATTTTCCATGATTAGATTCTGTGCCATTTCTATCTAACATTTCTAGGCTGGAACCCCAGGTCTCAGCAGTGGCCGGGAGAGCTTTTGCACAATTAAAACTTTTGCACAATTAAAACTTGTGCGCCAGCTGCGCCCATACCTTGGGAAGCCTGATCTGGTCACAGTGGTCCATGCTTTGGTTACATCCCAAATAGATTACTGCAACGCACTCTAAGTGGGGCTGCCTTTGAAGACTGCTCAGAAACTTCAACAAGTCCGATGGGCGGCAGCTAGAGTACTCACTGGAGCATCATACAGAGAGCATACCACCCCTCTGTTATGTCAGCCCCACTGGCTGTTGGTCCAATTCCAAGCACAATTCAGAGTGCTGGTTTTGACCTATAAAGTCCTATACAGCTCCAGCCCAGCTTACCTGTCCGAACGTATCTCCCTCTATGTCCCACCTTAAAGTTTAAGATCTTCTGGGGAGGCCCTGCTCTTGGCCTCGCCTTTGACGCAAACACACTTGGTGGGGACGAGGGACAGGGCCTTCTCGGTGGTGGCCCCTCACCTGTGGAACTCGCTCCCTAGCGAAATCAGGTCAACAACATCTCTCCTTGCCTTCAGGAGGAAATTGAAAATGTGGTTATGGGACCAGGTCTTTGGGTAGCTGGCAGATAATTGACAATGGTAATGATGATAATGTTATGGAAAAATGGACTATGGACAGACTACCAATTGTGTTGTGCTCGCTGAATTTGTTTCTACATAAGGCTAGAAGCCAGTATTACTGCATTTTTATTAATGTACTTTTTATTTTAAAACTAATTTTAAAATTAATTTACTGTGTTCTTACATGTAATTACTGTATGTATTATTTATATGTAATGGCATTGAATTGTGCCGGATGTAAGCCGCCCTGAGTCCCGTCCCCCCTTGGGGGGGGGGGGGTGTTGAGAAGGGCAGGGTACAAATGTTTGAAATAAATAAACACATAAATAAATAGTGGGTTGTTGTAGGTTTTTTCGGCTATATGGCCATGTTCTAGAGGCATTATCTCCTGACGTTTCACCTGCATCTATGGCAAGCATCCTCAGAGGGAGTGAGGTCTGTTGGAACTAGGAAAATGGGTTTATATATCTGTGAAATGACCAGGGTGGGGCAAAGAACTCTTGTCTGTTGGAGCTAGGTGTGAATGTTTCAACTGACCACCTTGATTAGCATTTGATGACCTGGCAGTTGTTTGGTGTGGCTTATTAGTGCCTGGAGCAATCTTTTGTCAGGAGAGAATGCCTCTAGAACATGGCCATATAGCTCGAAAAAACCTACAACACCTAGTGATTCCTGTCATGAAAGCCTTTGACAATACATTCAAATAAATAAATAACAGAGGAGAGGAGAAAAAAATGTAGCTAAGCAACATATAATGAAGAGCAGGGTTATCTAACCTTAGCCTGGTGGTCTCAGTATGATCAGTGGTGTCCAACTGTGGATCCTTCAGGTGTTTGGGACTCCAAAACTCAGAAACCCTGGCCAACTTGTCCAACCGTGGTACCTCCACCTAAGCAAGGAGGTTGTGTCAATAGCAAAGCATGGATTGCTTTTCTATTGACACAACTGTCTAATGGCTGTTTCCTAAGGCATAGCTCAATGTTACTAGAGCTTGGTATTGTGTGTGGAATGAGCTGGAAAGGTTTGTATAAATTCTATACTGGATGTAGAGGTTTATTATTAAGAGTAGCTGTATCACAGCTTTTGATTCCTCCTGTTGGTCTACTTGTCTATGGAGCCACTCCATGAATATCAACAGTGTTTTGCCACAATGCAGAATTCCATGACTGTTATATCTGTATTTGGGGGACAGGGGCACAAAAACAGTGGACATCTTCAAAGAAAATTCTGAAAATAGTTTTTTGTTTTTTAGAGGGTGGGAAACAGAAAAATATAATAGATTTCCTTAGGAACAAATATTATCTTCTGAAAAATGTGTCCTAAGTTCTTCTTCATGGTTTATTTCACTTTGTTAAACCAGTGGTTCATTGTATAAGCAGAAGAGAAGATTCACTATACAGTTTCGGTGACCACTCATGTTCAATGGTTAAAACTGCTGAGAACTGATTGATTAGACATCTTGGCTCTAATTCTCTTTCCTTTCTCTCAATCACTTTCATGAGTATGGTAGTAGAAATATTAGGTATGGTTTTGAAAAGGAAGTGAAACTGGTGTTGTATGTAAATGAATACTTCAATTTCCTGAAGTTTTTCTTTCCCCATGAAACAGGATGTCAGAGTGTTGTATTTCATTCGTAGAGCATTATAGGGTTTATTTTAATATTGTTTTTGGACTTAAACTATTATACATTTCTCTTACACACCTCCCTATCACTCTATAACTTCTCTGGCTACATGAAATTCCCAATATAAAAAAGTCTATAGAGTAGCCATTCTCTATTATGCCTTATCCTGTCAGGAAGCTGCAGCCATTCCTTGTAAGAGTAGTCAGACATAGTCCGAGATCACAATAGAATTGATCGAAACAGAGCCCAAAGCACAAAGAATATCCAAATGTCTGTTCCAAAGGTCAATAACAAAGTCCAAGATTCAAGGGTCAAGATTACCAGCTGAAACATTTCATATACAGTGACTGCTTCTAGCAAAGGAGCTATTGCAAACATTAACCCTTTCCTCTAATTCTGCCAAGTCTTTAGAGCTGCTCTCTTTTTCTTTGCACCAACCGATTGAACCAATGCAGCTGAATGCCATCCACCCTGAGTTGCAACAAGGTGGGAAGAGTTAAGTCCTGCTCTTCCACCTGAGGATCCTCATTCTGCTTTTTCTTATCTGTATCTATCCCTGGAGGGTCCTGCTCCTGCTCAGCAGGATCAATTTCTGTCAGGTTGATCATCCCCCTTGGGCTCAGATTCTGCTGCTGAGAGGAAATCCTCCTCGTAATCTGGTCAATGGACATCTCTTGGCATTTAACTGAAGTGTAAGGGCTATGGAGGTTGGGGAAACTTTCCAATTTCCCTTGAAAATCTTTGCAACTAAACACGCAATATTTCCAATACCACAACTCCACAAGAATTTCTGCAACTTTTCTTTTTCTTTTAACATTTTTATAAAAAGCATTTTTCATGTCATACTGAAGGAAAATAATCAAAGAAAGTCTATGAAATGTTCAATGTAGCACTGATTTGATCCAGTTTCCAATTTTATCCTGTTGGATTTGCCATTTTAAAAAAAAACAACCTTAATGAAACTGCACAAAATTTGCATTTCTCAATGTTTTTTAAGCTAAGCAACATGTACATGGGCCACAAAATGTGGAGCAACATTGTGGTCTAGCCCTGGGGACAGTTACCATAATGCAGTTTCCATTTTGCTGCTGTGGCAGGCCAAAATCCCAACTTTTTAGTCAGGCCTTATGCAATTCAGCCCCACTTAACTTTTTATCCTTTATCTCCGTGGCAGTGGCCATGGGGCTTTGGAAACCTTCTAGCTATATCTGGACACCAGTGCCCATGAAACCAGGAGAAAGAAGGGGGTGGGAGATGGTGTCTAAGTGCAGGGGGGGGGATAGATGATGCCCCTGGTCCACGTGAACAACTGAGCTGATTTATCTGAACCAGCCCAGATTTTCATGACTTCTCTAGAGCTTCAGGTAGTCCCAGAGCATTCCTTGATTTCTGCTAGCATGAAGTAAATTTTGGGTTAACCATCTTTATCCTGCACTGGGGGTTAGAAAACTCTGTATGTTATCTGGACACCAAGGAAAGACTTCTATTCTGATTCAAGGTTTTTGGCCCATGTAAACAGGCCTTAGGACAGTGTATTTCTAAATATATCTTATTTCAAAATACCTTTTAAAAATACATGTTGATACACTTTGACCTGACAACTGCTTTATAAAATAGGTGCACACACACACACACACACACACACACATGTGTGTGTGTGTGTATATAGTCAAAGCATAACTATGTTCTGCATATAAGTCTAGATTTCATGAAGATTGTTAGCCACTATATAGAGATATATACTTATAAAAGATATCCCCTGAGTTGGTGTGGAGAAAGTGATACATTTCTATCCTTCTTAACTGAATCAGATCAAGGAGCATGGCATTATTTGGCTAGTATGTGTGACTCTCATTTGGACTGTTGTTGGACCTTAGAGACCAATTTTTCCCATGTTTACTCATAATGAGTAAAACTGGTCATGGATGGCACACTACCTTCTAATTTTAACTTTCTACTAAATGGTGATTTCCCCCATGCCAATTTTTAATTTACATGCTATGAACCTTTTAAAAAGAAAAGTATTTTAAAGTTTTTAAAGCTTTTACATAAGTGTTTTCTTGTCTTAATTCCTGTGCACATCTGTTCAACAATGATTAATACTTTGTTTCTCAAATACATTATTGCAGTTGTTGATGGCTTCTATTGTTTGTGCAACCCTGGATATGCGGGACCAAAATGTGACCAAGACATTGATGATTGCCTTAGTAATGCATGTAAACACAATTCTACTTGCATGGATCTCCATCTGGTTAGTATACTTAATCTGTGTGTCTCTGTCAACTCTGGCTATTGGGTTGTAATCCTTTGCACTGTTGCCTTCATACAGACCTAAATTACACTGTCTCTCTGAGGAGCTTAAGTTTGTACAAAGAATTTATTTTTTAACATGATTTTCCCCTCCCTTTCCTTCCCATGTCTGCTTACAAGTTCCTCCCTTTCTCCAAATCTTCCTCTGAACCTGCATACCACCAAAACCATTTCTACAAAGTCCTGATGACAGTGTATTGTAAGATTCCCCATGAAGAGTTAGGCATGGTGAAGCTCATTGAAATCAATAGATTACACTATCTCTAATTTGTCAGATTTGGTTGTTAACCTGGAAACTGAAGCATTTGAGCTAAAGCTTGGAAGGAGCTAGCATTTCTGCAGCTAAATTAAGCAGCAATTTTTAAACATCTCGATGCGTAGTTTTCCTTGATGGAGGGGACATTCATTAATCTTTTTAAACTTTAAACTTGCTACTGAAAAAGATATTATTTCTAGAATTAGTTGTGACAATACGCAAGCCCACGTTAGGAGTCCAGAATTAAAATCTACGGCAAAAATGTAGAATAATGTAGGTGATTTTTTTACAGAGAAGCAGTATTTTCAGTATTAAGACACCTAGATGGAAGTTGGAGAAAAGAATAGGATTGGATTTTGACAGGGATATTTTTTGTCTGTCTATCAACTTATACATGGAATATTTGTTAGGCTACGTGGGATATTGTTGAAGTTGTTTGGGAAGAGATTTTTTTTACAATGATAGAACCTTGTTGAGGAGAAGTGTTTCCATTCTACAAGCAATTTACTTGAATTCTGTGGGCAGGTTTCACTTGCTCAGCTGACAGGAAAGGACATTTACATGTGCTTAGTGTTATCTCACCATACCTTTACAGGCTAGCAGATGTAATTATTGGTTTGAAAATCACACTGTCTTAACTCCTGCTTCAATGCTTGCTGCCGTGCTTATATTATTCTACTGTGATGTATCCAATGCACTAGATATAAAACTAACACAAGGCAGGAATGATTTTTTTTTAAAAAAAATGGAGAATGGTCAAAAACATGTTTTCAAATGTTGATAAATCTTTCCAAGAAGATTCTTGTACTGATAAAAGTATTTGCAGTTTGTAATTTGGGATTTATTCTGTACAAAAGTTTTCACATGGTTGATTTGCAACCAGTCTATGTTGTTTAACTTCTCACAAACATCAAGAAACTCTTCTAGTGAATTTTAAGAATACATATCAGGATAACTAGCAATAACTAGCAAGAGGAGGGCGACTAAAATGATCAAGGGTCTGGAGAACAAGCCCTATGAGGAGCGGCTTGGGGAGCTGGGCATGTTTAGCCTGAAGAAGAGAAGGCTGAGAGGAGATATGATAGCCATGTATAAATATGTGAGAGGAAGCCACAGGGAGGAGGGAGCAAGCTTGTTTTCTGCTTCCTTGGAGACTAGGACGCGGAACAATGGCTTCAAACTACAAGAGAGGAGATTCCATCTGAACATTAGGAAGAACTTCCTGACTGTGAGAGCCGTTCAGCAGTGGAACTCTCTGCCCCGGAGTGTGGTGGAGGCTCCTTCTTTGGAAGCTTTTAAGCAGAGGCTGGATGGCCATTTGTCAGGGGTGATTTGAATGAAATATTCCTGCTTCTTGGCAGGGGGTTGGACTGGATGGCCCATGAGGTCTCTTCCAACTCTTTGATTCTATGATTCTATGATTCTATGATTGTCCCAGAGTGCATTGGGCTCTACCAATGTTCATTATCCCATTGTGAATCTGACATTGATCACTTTGCTAGGTACCCCACATACTAATCTATTGAGCCTTTGCTCAACACTGGTGTTGCAAAACTGCCCTATTCACATTTTAGTCCTCATACAAAGACATAAGACCCTTACATGGACACTTTTTCTGATTACAATAAAAATGCCAAAGAATTATGAGGAGCTATCCAGGAGCTCTGTAGCAGTGACAGGAAAGGCAATGTGGTGGTTTCAGTCTAGCTAGACCATGAAAACTTCACCCCACCACCACTATTGGTCAGTGATACCTCTATGGCCTCCAGAACCAGTCCAGAACATTTCTACTTCAAAACGACCCTGGTATTTTTGGTAAGGGCACTACCATTACTATTATACAAGATTTCAGATTTAATTTATGAAAACCTTACTGAAAACAGGAACTTGGCTTCCAATGGTTCAGTGTAGCACAAAATTATGTGTGCCTACTTTGACTTTTCCTCTTGGGGAAAAAACATTCCAAAGGGGCAAAAGGAATAAATGGAATATTACTTGCAAGTTTGATGCTTACCTCTGTTTTGGGAATAATTGTTCTCGTGATCTCTGCTTTCTTTGGCAATGAAATCCTATCATCAAAAGCCTAATTCAGTCCCACTTACAGCACCAGATTTACATTTGTTTTCTTCATATGTCCTGAGAGGCTTTTTGTTGTTATTGCTTTGTTACCATCACACAAATCTATCCCTTCTCTTTCTACAGTCATTTGTCATTTTTTGCTGTCAAAAACGTACACCATTTTATTTTAAATGGACTGTGACATAGTTAGCAAATCAATAAAATCCCCACTGGGTCATTGTTTCTCAGAAAGCCAGGCCAGAGAGAAAGGGGAAAATATTAGAACACTCTCCCTTAGGGGAATTCATTCACTACAGGCATGAAAACACACGCGTACGTAGATAACGTGTTGTGTTTCAGTGGGAATAGGTTGTGTATTAGTCTTTTGCTTGACTTTTGATTAGTTTTGGAAAAAAACAAAATGCATAAACTGTGTATTTCATGCAGCGTGATATCACCATATCAACTTTTTTTTTTACAAAATTGTATTTATTTATTTATTTATTTATTTATTTATCTTTTAACTTGATCTGTGTTCTTCCAACTGGTTTACTGATTTCATAATCAAAGATTTAAATTTAGTATATATAATAAACATAGATGCAAACATATAATCATTCCCTATATTCAGCTCAAGGTTGCTAATTTTTTCCAACTAATGTCAATACTATGATTTTTATTAAAGAAATAATATGTGATATGTATAACGTATATTGATTTTTTACAAAAAAAAATAACCCCTCAATTTTGTACATTTAGGATGGACCTGTATAGTTGTCCATTTGTGATTTGGTTTATATATGTAAGGCATTAAATTTTGTCATTATCTCTTTGTAAACTGCTTTGAGTCCTCCCAGGGGGTGAGAAAAGTGGTATATAAATACTGTAAATAAATATATAAATGGCTTAGACTCAACTAGTTACAAATAACTAACAATTATTTGGAATGGTTCATTTTCCCCATGTAAATGTCTACCTGTATTATTATTGTAATTTATTAAGGGGCAACTTCACTCTTCTTGCACTGTAATTTAACTTTTTATTCTGTCCTATAGTTCTACTAAGGACCTAAATACCCTGAAGGCACCAGATCTTGTCTGATCTTGAAAGCTATTTAGTGTCAGCCTTGGATGAGAGACAGATGACAAATACTAAGTGATTTGGGCTACATTTCAGAGGAAGGAATTGGCAAAACTACCTTGGAGTATTCCTTCTCATAGGGTCACCATTAGTTACCAGAGAACTTGTGGTCACACACACAGTTCTGGTAGTATATTCTCAGTAAGTGGTGAAAGAATAATATTTCATAATTCAATAGCTGGCTCTGAATCTCATGATTTATTATGGGGATGATAACAAAATATAAAAAGTTACTCTTAAACTTTGTAACTATAAGAGTAACAAAATACTTCACAGGCACTGAATTCTAATAGTAATTCATTGATTTTGATATATATATATTAGATTTCTCAAAACCCAATTCTATCCTTAAAGCACACTTATAATTTACTGAGGTATTCAAAGACATACCTCAGCAAAAAATAAAATGATAAAAAGGAATCCTATATCACCTTTGAGACTAACTGTGAAGAATAAATTTCAAGCATAATTTTACATGAGCTCCAGTCCACTGCATTGGATGGCATGAACTGGACTCCATGAGAGATAATGTTACAAATTTCTTTTGTTAGTCTCAATGATGCTGCCCGATTCTCTTATATCTTTTTTTGTTCAGTCAGGCTTCCTTCTATGTGAGATTGGAAGCTTACTGTTGTACATCAAATCATTCATCAAGAATATACATGGGCATATTGTCTTTATGCTCTGTTAGATACAAAAGCCTGACTAGAAAAGTAAAGGAAGAAGATGGATGCTGTTAAGTTCAGTATTGTACAAGTTCATATGGGTTTCCCATGAATGGGACAAGTCTGAATGAGTGGGGTGGTGTTATTTTTGCAGCAGTAAGAACCATTTGTCTAATGCCTTTTAAAAGAATTTATGGCATCTTCTGTGTATGTGAAGTGCATAGTGTTCACTTGTACTGTCAATGTGATGGATTAAGGCACCACCATAGCTGAAGTATGAAGGCAGATTAAAGGGATGTGGGACTTTCATCTGGAAAATAGAGGAGTGGTCAACCAAGCAAGCTACTACATCAACTTGTGACACAATGCTATGTGACATAGGCTGCCTTTGGTATGATATTATTAACCTTTTTAAAATGAATACAGCATTTCTTTAGTTCAAGCAAGGTTTAACATAAAGGGGGAACAATTTAAAAAAGACAGTGAGAGTCAGTATCAAAGCAAGGCTCTTCTTTTCATGGTAAAGATGTATTGGTCTCATTTTTTTCAACTATGTCATATAGGTGTAGGGCATATCTACATGGCCAGTATACCCCAGAGTGGGTAAGAATCAACTCCATTGCATTTCCATGATGCACCAAGCCATCTTGATGCTGATGAAAGGCATAATAATAATAATAATAATAATAATAATAATAATAATAATAATAAATTGAACTTTGAAAAAGGAGAAAATGGAACTTTGAAAAAGGAGACAGAGGGCCTGATTCTGGCAGCCCAAGAACAAGCCATTAGAACAAATGCCATCAAAGCCAGAATTGA